CAATGTGTGTGTGTGTGTTGTGTGTGTGTGTGTGTGTGTGTGTGGTGTGTACGCATATTGTTAACTTTGCAAATTTATGTGAATAACAAAGCCTGCAAAATCTCAACGAAAAATTTTTTGCTTCAAATGTTCCTAGTGCTTTAACAAAACTTTAATGAGATAACAACTACTACTTTGCCGAGAAAAAGAGAGAGAGAGAGAGAGAGAGAGAGAGAAGGAGGAAAAGGAGGAAGGGAAAGAGAGAGTGGGAGAGAAAAGTAAGGAGAAGTAAAAGCTAAGAGGATAGGAAAAAAAGGAAATAATGACAAAGAGGGAAAAGAAAAGACACAGAGAGAGAGAGAGAGAGAAAGAGAGAAAGAGAGAGAGAGAGAGAAAGGGAGAGAAAGAAGAAGAGAAGAGTAAAAAAAATATAAGCTGCTTGTGATAAGCTGAAAAACAAATCCATTCGGTCAAGTTTGGCTTTAAAAGAAAGAGAGAGAGAGAGAGAAACAGAGAAAAAGAGAGAGAAGAAAAAGTATCAGAAAATAAAAAGATCAGAATGGATAAAAATAAAAAAAGAGTTAGAGAAAAAATAGTGAGAAAAACTAATTGTCCTTTTGAAAATTTGCAACTCGCGCGTGTGCTTTACTCCCGTAATACGTCTGCCAATTTAAATCCTGTCCCTGATTTCGGTTTTTCGCAAATTTAACGATAAACTTTAAAAATAATTCATTTCACTGAATAAATATTTATAATAAATAAAAATATAATTGAATAAACTATTTATAGTTTATGTAAAGAAGAAAAAAATCTTACAGTCGAATTTACACTCACAATAAAATGGCCACATAAACAATTCATTTTCATTTTTACGGCTATTTAGATGTCACTTCATTCAACATTTGAAAAAAACTTATTTCCGATAATTAACCGACTCCTTATACTTCAAAATCAGTAGATTCAGTTGAGTCATTGAAAGCTGAACATCGTTAAGTCTGATCTCCTATGCAAAGCTAGTCAAGTTAGGAAACAAACACAGCTCTATGCCTTGATGATTGGTTGTTTGTGTTAGCCAGTAAGTGTACTAGATTTTGGAAAATACAAGAAAATTTAAAAAAATACAGAACAATACTGAACAATACCCAAATACCGCAGAAAACAATAAACAAAGCAAAAACGTTTGAATTTTATTCTCTAAGGTTTTTTAGACACGTACTCCTGACTAAAAGAAACTTTCAACATGTATTTTAACCGAATGATGTTTAATTGTAAGATATTTTAGAAATGTTATGAAGAATAAAAAACATATTAAAAACTAAAAAATAAAATAATAATAAATTTCTTGTGAAATTAAATAAAGAATAAATAAAATAAAATTTAGAATAAAAAGCCACTGATGTTAAATTGAAAGGTTAACAAACATGTACTAATTTTAATTAGCCAATTAAAACTTTTGTTTCTTCTTCTAAACACACACACACAGACACATACACATGTACACGCACGTACGCACACATACACACACGTACACACATGTACACACACATACATCCACGTACACATACGTACATACATATAAATACAAACGATAAAACATTAACAAAAAAAAAAAACAATCTCACTCTAGCTATTTTCATTCCATTTATATGCGCGTATTTACATATGATTCTATGTTTATTACATTTCTATATTTTGTATCTTTGTTTACATCTGCGTATCACGAGACACTTCCGGTGTTATTACGATGACCGTCACGTGCGTTTGTTTGGCTTGTTTCAACATAAACTTCCGGGTAATGTTCGGATGGATGTACATAACACACACACACACACAAACACACACAGATATATATACTCACGCACATACAAACACTAACTTTGGGGTCATTATCCTTTCTATAAACTGATGTTTATTTATGCCGGAAGACTCTCTCCTAAATCCCATGAAAGCGTCATAAAAATTTGACGTCACCGAAGTTTACGACGAAACGGAAATGGGTTAAGAGCACACCACCCACCCACCCACCCACCCACCCACACACACACACACACACACACACACACACACACACATACGCACACACACAAACACACACGCATATATTAAGATAAGATTTTACACACAGCTAAGCCATAACGCTGGTTAAATGCACTGTAATTGAATCGAAGTTTTATTGGACTGGGGGTTGTGTAGTAGCAGTAACAGTAGTAGTAGTAGCAGCAGCAGCAGCAGCAATAGAGTAGAAGCAGCCGTAGTGGTATTAGTAGTAGTAGTAGTAGTACTAGCAGCAGAAGCATTATAAATAAGAAACAGCAATAGTAATAATAGAAAAAGTTATTCTATTAGCATTAGTTGTAGTAGTAGTAGTAATCAGTGGTTGTAGTCGTAGAAGCGGCAATAGTAGTTGCAGAAGTGGTAGTAGTAGTAGAAGCGTTACGATGGAGATTATGATGACGATTATGAGAGCAATAATTATAATGGAAATAACATCAAAAATAATAATAATAATGATAATAATAATAACAATAGTAATAATAACAAAAATAATAGTAATAATAATAACAACGATATTAATAATAATAATTCTGATGGCCGGGGTTATTATCCGACAAATCCCAACAACAGATTTTAACATTGCTGTTCGTGTTTTAGAACATCAGTTAAACTACTACTTCTAGTGGCAGTAGCAGCAGTAGCAGTAAAAGTAGTGGTAGCTGCAGTGGTAGTAGTAGTAGTAGTGGTAGCTGCAGTGGTAGTGGTAGCTGTAGTAGTAATAGTAGCAGCGTTAGTGACAATGGTATTAGTAATAGTAGTAGTATAAAATATATTTTTTCTTTGTAATCATTCTATAATAGTAGAAATAAATACAATTAATGGTATTAGCAAGTAAGTAGTAGTAGAAGTAGAAGTAGTAGAAGTAATAGTAGTAGTAGCAGAAGTAGTAGTAGTAGTAGATGTATAATGGTAGTAATATATATGTCCATTTCATATTTGCATAGGTTTTTTATAGATTGCATGCTTCGAATATACTTCTTTGGTCTTCGTAAATCATCAATCACTGAGACCTAAAATTGCTATCTATATTTATTACTACTACTACTGCAGCTACGACTGCTACTACTGTTAGTACTACTACTACTGCCAATACAACTACTACTACCACTTACTACTTCTATTACTTCTATTACTACTGATAGCGGTAGTAGTAGTAGTAGTAGTAGTCCTAATTTAAAACGTACCTTTATATAGAAAAATGACTGAATGATTGAGTGAATGAATGAATGAATGAATGAACGAATAAATGAATGAATGAATGAATGAATGAATGAATGAATGAATGAATGAATGAACGAACGAATGAACGAGTGAATGAATGAATGGATGAACGAGTGAATGAATGGATGAAAAATGAGTTTGGAAAATAAAAACTTTCTTTACGGAATGCATGTAAATGAGGGAGAGAAAGTGAGAGAAAAAGAGAGAAAGAAAGAAAAAGAGAGAGAGATCGAATGAAAAAAAGACAGAAAGATGTTGCTAGTAGTAATTTTGTTTCGCAACGCTTGTAACATATGTTTTGCACTACATCTAATTACCTAACAGCATGCTGGAGAGAAAAGAGTACATACACACACATACAAAAACAATAGAAACATACAAAAATAGAAACATACAAAAAACATACAAAAAAAACATACCGAATACAGACAAACGTACCTTTGCAAATTTGTGCATGTATGTGTGTACTTATTTAGGCGACAAAAAACAGAAAATGTCAAAAATTGAAGCAGTAAAATACTTTAGCTTCTCGCGATATGGCATGAAATTGATGCTTTTTACTCTATGTCTGTCTGTGCGTATGTATGTTTGTGCGTGCGTGCGTGCGTGTGTGTGTGTGTATATGTATGTATGTATTATTAATTTTATTCAAAAATTTGTATAGCGCTCTGACTACAAACAACAATGTTTCTCAAAAGCGAAGAAAGATACATTGCTACATTACAGAGACAAGAAACTAAAAACGTTAAAATCAAATGAAATCAAGAACGGCTGTACTGCTACAATGAACTAAATCTTTAAAACAAAAATAAAAATGATTTCAGTAATTTCTTGTATGATCTTTTTGTCAGTTCGGTCTGTCTTGGCTAACTTGGTAGACTATTCCATCCCGTTGGTCCACATACTGAGAAACCTTTCGTCACCATTCTCAAATTGGTTTG